TCGCCAGTTTCGACTTTCGCCGGGTTTAGTTTCGACTTTCGCCATTTACCAAAAATAGTTTCGCCTAACAACACTAGTCGCGGTATACGAAAGAGTAGTTTAAGTACTGCACGGTTCGATAATCTTATGGAAGAATGGGAAAAAACTTATAATCAATTCGTACAAGTTTTTAGCTAGACCTAGCCAAAAAATAAATCACATTTTGCTAGTTATATTACAGTTTCTATCACAGAAATAAAAAGTTTGATTATTTGTAATCGAGGGGGGGTCAATTATGAAACAAAAGCAGTTAAATATAGTTAACCAAAAGAATGTTATAATCGCTACACGGCGCTAGTAACCTCGAATATAACTTTTCTGTTTGCTAATTGGTAATTGCAACCACAATTAACAACCATCAAAATACCATTAATTATAGCACTTTGTGCCCGGAACCTTGCTTTATTTTAAAAATAAAAATATATTGCCGAAACGGCATACAAATAAAATATATATATATCGCATTTACTTAATGCAAATAAAAAAAAATTAATTTCTTGAAGAGTCTACGTAAATATGAATATCATTTTCATCGGGGCTAGTAGTAAAGTCTTTAGAAATTCTAATCATTGGTTTAAAAATATTACCATTGGGGGATGGACGTAGAATGAAGGAATAGAATTAAATAAAGGTGCCAAGCGTTCTTTTACCATGTGTTTGAGCAATTCATACTTTTTGTCATTAGAAATCTCAATCGTAAAAGTTTCATTTTCGGGGTTTCTTCCGCTGACGACACAGTTAAGGTTAATAATTGCCATTTGGGGAACCCTGCAAGAAATATATAGAAGAACCCATAGTAAGTAGAAATTAACTTTGAAATAAACAATCTCTTGTATAAACAATATACGATAACTGACCTTGGAAATAAATTGCAAATATGTAACTTTTGTTTTCAATAGAGTTAACACGGTAAAAATACATATAAGAACAAAAAATAAGGTTATTGCTAACTTATCTTATGGGTGGAAACATGCTTATTTATACTCTGCTAAAAGAGAAATCACACGACTAGTAATTACGTTACCCTAACACAATGCCAGATCCCACTTAGCAAAGCAAGTCCGCCCGGTCATAAGCTCCAAATACTGAATATATTTTGTAGTCTTTTTTTAGGTAAATTGAACCCCCTTAGATTCGACGATCTCTCCTGCGAAGTGAAAAGTTAACGATCTCGACGATCTGGGAATTCCAAGTTCCTGCGACATATGAATTTGGATAAAACTACTTATAAAGAATGTTATACTCATTCCTCTTATAACCCTTTTGAGTCCCCATTCATGCTTTTTCTTATCGCGGGATCGTATGTTGTATAATAAGAAAATGGTCTTTCGTAATTATTCGTTATTAATAAAAAATCGACCGTGAGAAATGATTCTGCAGGAGAGTGACACAAACCGTATACTTAGTTTTCATTTTAAAATCGCGAAATTTTATCTTACGATATACCGATCTATTGTTAAGCCACTGTTGAAGTACTGTTGGAGTACTGACGGCTTTTTCTTAGCGTTAAACTAAATTCAGAGTTAAATCTTTCTAATAAACTCGATCCCTATAATTAGAGGAACGATCACGGAACGATCACGGAAAATAACTCACCGATTCACGTGGCAATTAGAATTGCGTAACAGATAAGAGAAATATCAAATAAAATAAATTAGGATCTGTTATCGTTATTTGAAGTATATAAATCGTATGTTGATCGAACATCGAAAATTTGACAGTTGGGTCAGATGTACAAATATTTTATAGGTTTCAAGTAAACCACCCTTAAAAACAAATATACAATTATATAAAAAAGTATAACAAATATAACAAGCCACATAATAATAACTTGAAGTAGTGTTTGGAACCGGTTTTATTTTTCTTATGTTAAAACCGGTTTTAATCGGATTTAACATAAGAAAAATAAAACCGGTTCCAAACTCTAACTTGAAGCATTTCTTGTGTTTTACATGCATGAAGCTCAAATAAGTGTGTATATATGTATGTTTTTTTTTTTTTTTTTATTTGAAATTTTTATCAATATACTTTTTTACACTAGATTGTTTTTGTATTGATAAGATGATTGTTGAACTATTTGTATAGGTATGCTTAGTTAAGTAAAAAATTTTACCTTTAAAATTGAGTAATAGGATCTCTAACTAATATGTATTGTGAGGTTTAAACATACTCATAATTACTATTTGGTAGCTTAGTATTTTGGTGAAGGTAGTTGTTTGTTTTATAAAAAATATACAATCGATTTTTTATAAATAGTCTTCTCAGATGTAATTATAGACTTTCAAGATAGACTTAAGAGTTGTTTATTATTTTCTTATAAATTATTTTTTTATATATTATAAAAATATAAAAAATATAATTGTTAGATTATTATTGTTTATATAATAAGAAAAGAAATATCTAATGAGCTTCTTGCAGTTTAGTCCATTGAACTACAAAATAAAAAATGATTTAAAAATATTTATCTTAAAATACATAACTTTTTGCTAAAAATAAATTAATTGTTTTTTATTATATTTGTTTTTTTTTGTAGTTTAGTTTTCTTAGGAGTATTTTTTGTCTTTTAAAACAGATCTAGAATCTAAATATTCTTTTCTTATATAAAATTATTTTTTTTATTTTAGGTGAAAATATTATCTTTGATATAAAGTATGTATGAGAAGAAAGATAACACAAACTTTATGAGTTTTAAACTTCTTAAACCATATTATAAAAAACAATTTGAATGTATTTATTAAAAAAATTTTATTAATATTCATGATAAAAATTATTTTACATATTAATCCTATCTTTTTGCAATATTTTATTTAAAATCAGAAATATTTGAGTAATGGTTTTTTAAATATATTAGTTAACTATATATTTTTTTTTAAGTTTATGAGAAAAAATATTACAATTCATTTTTTTTAAAAAAAAAAATATTAATAATAAGACTATGCCTTTAACTTTATTAAAATTCAATTAAAGTTTTTATAAAAAAAAGCTTGCTTTTAAATTATATATAAAGAATAAAAACTCAAACATATAATTTGTAACCTAAACCTACAAAAATAATCAAGGCTTACTTAAATTTGGTTTTGAGTAATAATATAGAAGAAAGGAGTATAATATTTAATCAATTAGATAGTTCAAAGATCAATTTTAGTAATAATTTGTAGAAAGTAAAGATAATATCACAATTTAAATTTGTATTCAAAAATAAAAAAAATATAAATAATTATTATTATACATCTTTTTTTATAAATTTAAAAAAAAATAATTATTTTTCTTTTTATTTTATTGAAATTCATATAGTAATTACTTATTTTTTTGTTTTTAAATAAAGATTACAAGAAGGTAGGATTTTTATTTTACTTTTTTTTTTTTTGGTATTAAGGTGAGGTCTTGCTCATATCTTTATTAGTAATTTTAGTTTTTATTTTACTTTTTTGTATATATTATAAATAAATATTTATAAGGCTTAAAAATTTCATGCATATGCATGATTGTGTATCTCTGTGATTGATTAATCAAAATTTATTATGTGATAGCTAACTAAACATCTAATTTTCAAAAAATATTTCTGTTTTTTTATAATCTGTATAACAAAATGCAACAATACATAATACAATAATTTTTTTTATTAAAATAAAATTGTATTTAAATTTTGTATTTTGTATCTTTATAATAATTATAATATTATAAATAAATAAATATTTATGTTATTAGGTTATATCTTATTGTGACTAGATATAACCTAGTAACAATTATTTATGTACTTATATTCAACACCTTTTTTATATCTTATATATATTCATACCGATAATACCTTCAATAACATAGCTGATTCTCTAGCAAAGCAACATACCTTTTCTTTACCTTTATATTTTCAATATACAAATATTTATAATCCTTTTCATATTCTATAATGGGAACAAAATCTTGTCAAACTTCCTACTAAACATTTTGTTAAAAATATCTGTAAAGCACACATATTGACAATGTGGTCTTTACAAAAAAAAAACAATGAAGAGGCTTATATTAACCACTATATAGACTAGAAATCTATATAGCTATATCTTAATTATAATTAAAAACCTACATCTAACTTTACTAGCTTTAAACTTAACCAATCTAAAACCTTTAAAATTAAAATCCTTTTAAATTAACTACTAACTTACTTTTCTTATCACAATATCTATCTAACGATCTTTTCAAATACCAACTGCTTTTGATGCAATCTTTCTGATTTCTACCTATACTGGTTAATTTGCTTTAACTTATCTCTTATTATAAACATTATTAACTCATCAATTCAGCATATTTTATCTAAAACAGACCTCAATTTATCTACTAGTCAACTATATGAACTTATTCGCAAATTCTAAAACCATCCTTTATTTGACTGAATACCATTCTAAGCAAACTTCTTTTATCTTAATTTTATTCTTAAAGGCCTTATACCTAAAGCCCTAATTGAAACAATTCATAACTACAACATACCTATTAAAACAGCCTTACAAACTATTATTCAAATACTTCTTAACATTAATGATTAAATTTATAATCAAATATGGAAACCTTACTGCATTGACCTTTCTAACTGAAAAAAAAATAATAATAATATTACATCTCTTCTAAGCTTTAACAATAACTATACCTTTCAACAAATATAGCAAACGAGACATCACAAGAAATCACATATAAACTATATATATTCATGTTTATGTGGAATAGCAGATCAATTACATTTACACCCTAATATCTGTCCACCAATTGGACAGACTATTAGAAAAATCAATATATAGTCGACACTCTGGATTAATCATAGCATATCTTACAATCACATTTTAACATTACAAATTTAGGTGGACCTTGACTACTATAGTCAGTTTAGATTGTAGATAAAACTGTCTGAGCTTTAATTCTTGCATGTAATTTTTATTTTATAGTTTACAATCTTAGTATATCTTAGTATATAGTATATTAATATATACAACTAAAATTACTAATAAAGATATAAGCAAGGCTTCACCTTAACACCAAAAAAATATCTTATGCATATAAAAATCTCAGCTATTGCTATCTAGTACTATTTCAACACTAATAAAACATGAATCTTAGTAAAATACTAATCTACAAATCTATAAAAAAAAAATTTAGTAGAATGAAAAAAATAACAAAAAAAAAAACTAAACCTAATTATCTTTTTCTATAGTTTTAGTTCTGAATCTTTATTTCTAACACTATCTTAATACTAGTAAAACACAATTCTACAAAAAAAAAATATTAATTAAAATAAAAAATAATAAAAAAAAAACAATCAATCTAAACTAATATTTATCTTTTTATACCAGTTCTGGTCTGATTTTTTATTTTAATCATTATTTTAATACTTTAGCAAATACAAAAGAAAATAGTAGTAGAATAAAAAAACAATTAAAAAAATAAACTAAACTGACACTTAATTTTTTATATTAGTTTTAGTTTATCTTATTTCTAACACTATTTTATTACTATAGTAAAACATGAACCTACAAGAAAGAAAATATTAGTAGACTAAAAAAATAATTAAAAAAAAACTAACAAACAAATTAAACTAGTACTTATCTTTTTATATCAGTTCTGATCCTAAATTTTCATTTTTAGTGCTATTTTAATATCTAGTAAAATATGAATTTACAAGAAAAAAATATTAGTTGAATAAAAAAATATTCAAAAAAACTCTCAAATAGAACTGATACTTATTTTTTTATATCAGTTTTAGTTCCAAATCTCT